TAAATCATCTAACACAGCAAAAACCTGAAAAATTCCCTCTTTCTCTCCACTGCCCGCCCTCCATTCAGTCGCCTCAGCTGAGCTCTCTTACATGGTGACGGCAAAAACAAGCTGCAGGGCCTTCAAAGGCTGAGTTTAAGCCGTCTCAGTGGCTGGCGCTTTGTCCGACTTCATCCTTTGGGTCCGAGCAAGTCACAGGGCCAGCCCCGTAGAGGGGAGGGAAAGCAGACCCCGCCTCCGATGGGAGGAGTCCACAGGGACACCGAAAGGACAAGCAGAGTGGGAGGGATTCCCGGAGCCTCCTTTGGGAAAAGCCCGCCATACCATCCTCGCCAGAACACCCTTTGCCTTCATTCTTGGTGTGCAAAGCCAGATGCTGACTGCTGCCGGTTTCCTGTTGGAACAGACGTGTCAAGACAAAGGCTAACCGAGATGAAAATAACTAGGTGGCTTTAAAAGAACCTTGGCAGTGTGACTCATGAAAATAACTAGATCGCTTTGACAATAACCTTGGATACGTGACTCACTCAGCAACAGGGGTTGTTTGCACGATCCACCTAACTTTGCGGGCAAAATACCAATTTTGATAAAAATTCAGTATTGGCCTTAAAATCCCCACATTGGGAAGTATATACCAATGGCTTTTACCAGCAGCACCTCCCGTGCCCTTGGAGTTATTTGCTGATCACGTGGCATTTACTCCTTTTCTGGCTTTGTCTGAAAGCCGCTGAATTATAATGGAAAAGGAGGAGGAAATAAGGCGTGAAACCCAGCAGCGGTGATGGAAGCAGGAAGCAGCAATGCTAAGCCTCCTCTGGACTAAAACGATGGCCGTAGCAGTGAAATTTGTCCTACTGCCCAGCTGTTCATAAACTGGAGGAAAGAGGAGGAGAGGGGATTGTGAATGGTGGAAAAACTTCCATCTGGGGCCCCCACAGCCACCATGAGCTGCCGAGGTGGGATCTCGGTGAGGAGGCAGAAGGGGGTTGCCCTCGTTGGGGACACTCCTCTGACGAATGGCTCCCGGTAACCACATTCATGTTCTGCGAAAAGGCCACAGCTGACAGAATCCCGTCACTTCCTTCTCGTCTGGGAAGCCCTGTTTACGTTTCGAGATTCTGTCCAGTACCCTTTGGCCTTTTGGTGTTCTACTCCAGTGCCCACGTCACAATGATGAGGTGGCAGTGATAATGTCTCAGCTCTGCCGTGCGAAGTAATGTCAGGTCTAGTCAGGGTATTTTCCAGTGAGTGAGTGAGTGTGTGTGCGCGTGTGTGTGCGTGCATGTGCGTGCTCGTGCTCACATACTCTTGACATTTCCACCCATACCTGGGGGACCTTTGGGGGCTCGGCATCACAGCACCCTCCCTGCCCCCGTGAAGCTCACAGTTGCCTAAGACGTTGTCAGCATCTCTCTCCTTGATTGTAGGTTTCCTTTGGCCGTGATTTTGAACAACAGCTGAGTTTTTATGTCGAGGCCAGGTCGCTGTTCTGCAATCTGGAGCCTGTCCTCGTGCAGTTGATTCACGTAAGGCTTTTCATTCATTCATTTGTTCTCTAAACGTTTGTTAAGCATCTATCTGTCAGGTGCCGATTTTAATCTGAGATTCTTCTGACCCTCCCCCCACCATATGACTTTTGATCCCAAGGTATGAAAGGTGTTTTCTCAAAGTTGTCAGTAAAATCTACAACTTTGCTTAAGTCTTTGGATGGTTTTTAATTGACCTCTTTTTCTCCGAAAACGTGTTTTCATTTCTGCATGCCAGTAGCAAAGAGTTAGTGAGTTGCACTGATGACTTAGTTACAGAAATACTAAGCAGCGTCTCCCTTAGGTCGTGGAGCCTTTCGGTAATTTGTCATGGTTCCTTCAGGCCAAAAGAAATAGATAATAGTTCAGCATGTTAAGAAGCTAGGCCCAAGCAGCTGAAGTATTTATGCGCTTACAATTTGATAGCCCTTTGAAACGATAATACACGTAAATTGAAAGAAAAATAATGGATTTTAACCTCACTCTTGAATAACCATAATTATTTACTCAAGAAGTATATCTACCCACCGGGCACTGCACAGCTTCGCAAACGTTGGAGTCAGATTGGACGTCACTACCCTTATTTTCTGTTCCACGTTGATTTTTGCACAGTGCTTGCTTTTTATCATGGCAGTTGCCGAAAACCCAGTTTTGCAAAGGTGCGATGTCGCTGC